GGGGGGGGGGGAATATGTTTGTTCCTTCTGAAGCCCACACGACCGTCTCCTTCGTCTTCTTCATATTGATATGAAGGTTGTTCTTCCTGCACCAGTTCTCCAGGTTCCACCTCCTGTCTGTAGCTGGACTCATCATTGTTTGTGATGCATGCCACCATCGCTGTATAATCTGCAAACTTTACAATGTGACAGCCTGGATGGGTAGCTGCACAATCATACGTGAGCAGAGTGAACAGGAGAGGGCTTAGCACACAACCCTGAGGGGAGCCAGTGCTGAGGGTTGTGGAGGAGGAAGAGAAGTTGTGGATCCTCACTAACAGTGGTCTGTCTGTTAAGAAGTCTAGTACCCAGTTGCAAATGGAGGGGCTTAGTCCTAGTGTGAATAGTTTGTCCATCAGGATTTGTGGGATCATGGTGTTGAAGGCAGATGTGAAGTCCACAAAGAGCATACGGACATAGGAGTCCTTCTGCTCCAGGTGGGTGAGAGCAGTGTGGACCACAGAGGAGATGGCATCCTCTGTAGATCAATTCTCACGGTATGCATACTGATGAGGGTCCTCGTTGATGTTTGTTTGGATGTGGGCCATGACCAGTTTTTCGAAGAATTTAGCGGCTATCGGTTGAGGGCTACTGGCCGGTAGTCATTCAAACCGGTCACTGTAGAGCTATTTGGGACTGGGATGATGGTGGCAGTCTTCAGGCAGATGGGAACTGTCTCCAGGGTAAGTGAGGTGTTAATGATGTCTGCCAGCACCTCGCAGAGCTGATCGACACATTCTTTCAGCACCTTCCCCGGGATGTTGTCTGGGCCAGTTGCCTTGTGCGGATTATTCTTCCTGAAAGTACTCCTTACTTCAGCTGAGGTCACACTAAGAAGCTCTTCTTCTGGTGGTGAGGTGAGTCTGGTGCTGGGTGGTCTGTTTGGTCTTCAAAGCGTGCGTAGAACTTGTTGAGAGAATCAGGCAGTGATGGGTCTTTGGGGCATTGTTCACTCCTGCCTTTATAATCTGTTATACACTTAATGCCCCTCCACATGCTCTGTGGGTCTTGTGAGGTGAATTGACCCTGGATCCTCTGTGCATATGTGGCCTTGGCCCTCTTAATACCAGTAACCAGCTCTTTCCTTGTCTTTCTCAGCTCCTGTAAGTTTCCAGACCTGAAGGCAGTGTTCCTGGCTTCCAGCAGGGTGCGAACCTCTGCATTCAGCCAAGGTTTTCTGTTTGGGTAACTTTTAACATATCTGATGGTGGTGATGTCATCAGTACATGTACTAATGTAACTCAGGACTGAGAATGTGTACTGCTCTAGGTCTAGTGCACCCTCATTTTCAGCAGCTTCTCTGAAGACCAGGCAGTCTGTGTGTTCAAAACAGTTTTTCAGTATGGGGCCACTGTTCTGCATCCAAGATTTGACTTTTGTCCCTAGGAGTGAGTGAGAGAGTGAACGATTGTTTGTCTCTATTGCCCCTTTTCCATTAGTACCGGTACGGGCCGGTCAGCACGGCTCTACTCTACTCGGTACAGTACAGGTTGTGTTTCCATTATGCTTTCAATACCGGTTCCAGTGGGCGGGGTTCAAATTGACGTCACCACCTCTCACCAGCTGGTGGCGCTGAGACGCAGAAACTGTTTTCAGTACACAAAGTTTGTTTTCTCAGTCATCCAGGTATATAACAACAAAAAAGGTTGAATCATGTCATCTGGACTTCGTTTTTTTAT